GAATTTGATAGATATCAAATATATAAACATGAGATGTTTATATATATGACACCATACCAAACTCAGTACTTGAAGTCGAGCTGAAAAAATTAGGACTTAATACTGTATCCCAGATGACTTTTCTGCGAGTTGGAATGCCGGACACTGCCTATAACTACATTTTAAGCTTTCGAAGACAAATTTTTATCACTCCTATTGAAAATATCAGTATCCCAGATTTCATTACAATATCCTTCGACAACACCAACTATCGAATTTATCTATTCACTAACTTAAATTGCCCTAAGTGTATGTCAAAAGGTCATCGCGAAACAGACTGCCCTGTTCTATCACAATTGACATCAACTGAAACACCCATTGAATCTCAATCTACAATATCACTTTCGTCTAAACCTCAAAATCTTACAACAGAAACAGGAAATCCTATTAATAATACCGCTAACTTTCAAATAACAGCAGAAGATATTCACAACGAAACGACTAAAAATAACAATCCTATTACTTTGAACACTGATGCCTCCCATCAAAAAACAAAGAGACAAATATCTACTGACTCTCCTGAGATACACGAAACGCCACCCGATCCAACAATTTTTACCAAACCCAAAAATACGGTTAAGCGCCAAAATCATCACAATCTGATATCCTCGAGTCACTTGAATCTATTAAAGGTAAAATCGAATCTAAATACCCGACATTTCCTCTTAAATTTACAGTTCTTTGTGACGCAATATGTAACGCATTAAACTCAAATTATCCTACCCCCATAGTAGAAAATTACACAACCGATATGGGTTCTTTTAAAGAGATACTTCTATTCGCCCACGACCATATTCCTGATTGCAAAATAAAAAATAAACTAACAAGACTTCGAAAAAAGATACAATCCTCAGTTACCGATTCATCCTCGGATATTGAAAGCGATAACTCCCTTCCCCACGTTGTAAAATAAAATGGATAATACATTTATATTACAGTGGAATCTTAATGGTTATTTTAATAATTTAGAATCCCTTAATCTAGTTATAAACGATCTTTCTCCTCTTATAATATGTTTACAGGAAACCCAACTTAAAACTAATAACTTTAATATAAAAAATTATTCCCATTTCCTTATTATTTATATAGCATTATGCTAGTGGAGGGGTTGGTATTTTTGTAAAAAATCACATTCAGACCAAAGAAATTAAGCTACATACTAATCTAGAAGCTGTAGCTGTATCAGTGTCATGCAATATCAACTGCAAACCTATTAACATATGTAACATTTACCTCCCTCATCCAAATGAAAATGTACTTGAAGAATTACATCGCTTAATCGATGTTATTCCTGCTCCCAAACTAATAGTTGGTGACTTGAATTGTCATAATATCACATGGGGTAGTGTAAAAACAGACAAATGTGGTAGACTTCTTCAGAAATTAATAGACAATCAAAATCTAATTTTAATGAATACTGGTAAATCTACTCATTTTAGCTCCCACAATAGTACTTTTTCTGCCATCGATATTTCGTTGTGTGATCACACATTAGCTATAAGTTTTTCTTGGAATAGTCTTGATTATCTATATAATAGCGATCATTTTCCTGTAACAATTGAAACCATTTTGCATGATCAACCAAATATTCCTGTTTACCAAAAATGGAAATTAAACTCAGCAAACTGGGACTTATATAGAGATCTAATGAATAAATTATCTTACGAACTTTATTCTAGAAGATAGCATAGATTCATCTCTTCCTCAGTTCAATGATACTATAGTAAAATGCGCTAATATTGCAGTGGGAAAAAACAAAACCTTGTAAACGAAACCAGTACCATGGTGGAGTGAAGAAATAGCCTTAGCTATGAAATCTAGCAAACATGCTTTCAATGTTTTAAAAAGACATAAAACAACAGAAAATGTTATCAATTTTAAAAAACTAAATATCTTATTAAGAACAGTAAAAAAGAAACATGGTCAAATTATGTCTCTACCATAAATTCATCAACACCTATGACTACTTACAATCTGGAATAAAGTACGTACACTAAAAGGTGAACAAAACTCAATTCATATTAACACTCTTTCTTGTAAAAACAAATTAATATCTTCCAAACAAGAAATTAGTAATATTATGTCAGATTTATATAAGAATAATTCAAGCAATGCAAACTTCAATCCCGCATTTTTAGATTTCAAAAATAAACGTGAAATGACAGATATATCTATAATAGATAGTGATAATCCACTAAATTTCCCCATTACATACCAAGAATTTGAAGAAGCTCTAGATAAATCAAAAAACACTTCATCGGGTCCTGATAATATACCAATCACATTTATCAAAAACTTGCCGTACATAGGAAAATTAATTCTCTTAGACATTTTCAATCACATTTACCTTAATAAAAAATTTCCTTCAGTCTGGTCTGAATCAACAATTATTCCCATATTAAAACCTTTCAAATCAAAAACTGACCCCCTTTCCTATAGACCAATTTCTCTTACAAATAATACATGCAAACTACTAGAAAAATTTTTAAATAACAGATTAATATGGTTTCTTGAAAAAAAAAAACCAATTATAAAGCCATATCCAAAGCGGTTTCAGAAAAGGCAGATCAACTCATGATGCCTTAGTAGCTATTGACAATATTATATGTGAGTCCTTTAGAAATAACCAGAAAGTAATTGCCATATTTTTTGATATAAATAAAGCATTTGATACTGCATGGAGATACAACATTTTACAAACCATGTCCAATTGGGGTATCCAGGGAAATTTTCTTGCATTTGTAAAACATTTCATGAATAATAGGATATTTCAAGTACGTGTAAATGGAATTACCTGAAAAACAGAATGTCTTGAAAACGGTATTCAACAGGGGTCAACCTTAAGCCCCACTTTATTTTTAATAGCAATTAATAATATCGCTCAAGAGATAAAGCTACCTTTGAAAGCAGATCTGTATGCAGATGACTTAGTTGTATATACTAGTAGCTGCAATATTACACTAGCCTCAAAAATTTTGCAATCATTTCTGCATAAACTAGAAGACTGGTTCCAAAAGACTGGTTTTACGTTCTCAGGTGATAAATCTCGTTTTATCGTATTCAATAAAAGAAAAACTGATTGCAAAACAACACTTACTCTAAATGTTATCAACCTAAAACAAGTAGAGAGCATTGACTTTCTTGGCCTGAGACTGGACAGTCAGTTAACATGGGCAGAACATATTAAAAAGCTAGTCGTATCCTGCCAATCTAAAATAAATCTCCTTAAAATGCTATCAAACCGATCTTGGGAAGCGGACACCATAAAATTGCTGCATATATACCAATCATTAATCCGAAGTAAACTGGATTATGGTGCAATATGCTATTCAACTGTGAGTAATTATATACTTAAAAAACTAGACATTATACAAAACACATGTTTAAGACTAATTCTGGGTGCTTACCGAACTAGTCCTGTTTCAAGTTTTCAGGTTATCCTAGATGAATCTCCCCAATCAATACGAAGACAACACATTTCTTTAAATTATGTCGCGAGATTGTCTTCCAACCCTAATAACACAAACTATCCACTTCTTTATAAAATATATCCACCTACTCAGTGCCATCAACAAATTAAATATCTACCCCTTAAAGAACGTCTAACGAGATATGGTTTTGACATGGAGCAGCTGACACATTCTTACCCTACACAACGAACTATACCTCCCTGGACTATTAATTTTTCCACTATTGATCTATCCCTTACGGCCTATCCAAAGAGTACCATAAATCCCATAATCCCATAAACCACTGGCCATAACAAGATTTTTACTGATGCGTCAAGAACTGAAAACGGACACGCAGCGGCCTTTATTCTAGGAAAGTCTGAATATGCAGTTCGCATCCTTCAATTCTGCAGCATTTTCACGGGAGAAGCAATCGCCATTTTAAAGGCTTTATACATGTGTAAGAGTCATGCAAGCTGAGATTTTCTTATCATTACTGACTCTTTATCTGTTCTTCAGAGCTTAAGACAACTATATCCAGTACATGCTATCCTGCAACAAAAACAATTAGCACTTTATCACCTACAAAACAGACACGTGAACGTTACATTTCTCTGGGTACCATCACATACAGGTATTGCAGGAGATGAAAAAGTAGATGAATTAGCAAAGAAAGCTGCTACTGACAAGCAAACTGAAATAATGACACTACAATTCCATTCAGTGATATCCAGCTCAATATTAAACAGCACTGTGTAAAAAATTGGCAACAAATGTCGAATTCTAATAAGGCTAACCTTAAAAACGTGAAAACTAGGATTGGCACTAAAGTACAATTTCCAGAAAACAGAAGGCAACAAGTGATTATAAACCGACTAAGAATTGGACATACAGCGTTAACTCACCAGCATCTCATAACAAAAGAACTACCACCTGAATGTTCCTATTGTGAATGTCCAATAACTGTTCAACATGTATTGATTGAATGTCCTCTTTATTCCTACGAAAGAGCCATCAACAACGTACCAGAAGAAGCAAAGAAACTTAAAGATATTTTAAACAGTAATATATCAAATACAATCAAATTCCTTAAGGACATACGTTTACTACACGTATGTCACGTAAAATTTAAACTATATTATATATATCGTTCTGTAATTTGTAATTTATTATGCGTAATTCAATACGCAATTTGTAATTAGTAAATTTGTAGTTGTAATAACAACTGTAAAATCTGTAAAACCCGTTAATAACCTTTATTGGTTGATGTGGAAATTCTAAATAAAAAAAAATTTGTTCCAAACTTATTATTGCATTATATATTAAACGCTAGCTAGTTGTAGCTAGGTAAAAGCGTCTACAAATTTTATTTAAAACTTTAGCCGTGTTGCACTTAAAATCAATATTTGCATCAGACGCTATCTACACTCATATAAAACGTCCAGCTCCAGTGGTATTTACTATCAAGCAAGCAGACAAAAACCACCACCAAAACTATAAAACTTGATTAACCTGAACTGCATTTTCCCCGGTAAATAATATTCATCAGCTTTCTGGCTCGGCAGGCCTCCTGTCGCAGGGTACACTCATTCGAATAAGTTTTTCCGTCGGAGCCGCACACTGGAGTAAACTCCAAGGGACAGGGGTCTCCACATCGGCAGACGGGGTTGCGGTGCTCATCCAACTGGCACACTTCAGGCTCGGTGCATTGGACACCGGCACAAGGATCTGGAATTAAGCACAGAGTATATTAGTACATGTGAAACCATGTTGCCACATCAGAATATTTAACTACCTTTGTTCTTGACTAAAATAAATTTATAGTAATAGCAAAACAATTATCACCGCTCATCATCGAATCTTGAGACGTTTTGAAATTATTGTATCAATATAATGTTTAAAAATACAAAATCTTATATTTAAGTTAAGAAATTCATAATATTTTACGAGTAATTGCAGTTTCAAAACAAAAATATATATAAATAACATATTTGGATGCTGCAAAATAATATAACAGGAAGCGTTTGTCTTCATTTTTACGAATATGGAAGAAGAATACTGTAGCGGGATTAAATAAAACGAGCGGTTCGAATTTATACCGAAGTTATTATTTACTAGAATATTCTGGATTCACCTCTAATTTACCTGTTTGACCGGGCGATCTCTCTCGCACTCAATATATCTCTGGAACGTTCTCGTCCCTTTCGAGATGCAACCGTTACATGGGTTACGCCAAATGCATGTTCGTAACACTGCTCCTCTCTTAGATCTGAGCGTCCCGATCAGCAACTCTATATGTAGGCCTAGGATCTCGGAATTTACAGGACTGTCTCACGATCTCTTCGGGTTAATGCAACACACAGTAATGCGTACGCCGGTTTCTCGGAAGATCATTTCAAGCATGCTTCTGACAATCTTTCAATCAAGATTTTCTAGTGCATGGCCTATCTTGGGTAAGACCAAATCCTTGATGTCATAATTGCACACGATTTTCTTCAAATTAGTTAGAGAACGCCATATATCCTCTCAAGTTGCCCTGTCTGTATACGACTTCCTGGTCACCGTATACAGCAAAAATCAAGGACCATCTTCTAATCTGAGTGCTGTTCCAACTTTAGGCTGCTGATTTTTTAACTTGTCCAAACGCCCGAACTTCCTATAAAATACGGATGAGATTCCTTTAGTCCTCCCAAGATCTTGGGCAACACAGTGAGACGTTATGCAGAACATTAAAAAGATCCTGTTGAACTTCTGTGGTCACGCCAAATCTACCACTCTTTCTCTCTGCGTAATTTGACATAAATTCATTAAAGCTTGGTCGCCGGTCATCTTTGATCTTATGTTGAAGGGTTCGGGCTGCTTCCGTTTCATTTGAGCCAGCATAAGGTGCAAGACGATTTATGTGAAGTACTTTTGGTTTACCTTTCAGCAACTTCTTAATTCGGTATATTACGTTATTTATTCTCTTTTTCATTTTATACGGACCCTCCCAGTATCTTTGCAGTTTAGGAGACAAGCCCCGACGACGTTGTGAATTATAAAGCCAAACAAGATCACCTACTACATATCTTTCATTCTTGCATCGAGAATCATATTGATCCTTCATTCTGTCACTAGCTAACTGGATGTGTTGTCGGGCAAGTTCATAAATGTTGTTCATTCTTAACTTCAGGCGGTCGACATAATCTTCGCTTGCAACATGTTCTTCGGAAGGTCTGCGCCCAAACTCTATGTCGCAGGGCAAACCAACTTCACGACCTAACATTAGGCAGGTTGGAGTCTGGTCTGTAGTTGGTTTCATGGCCGAGCGGTAAGCCATTAGGAATAAATTAATGTGCTGGTCCCAATATCTTTAACATTCTGATACAACTTTGGACAGGTCTTTACCCATCGTTCGGTTCATCCTCTCGACCATTCCATCTGATTGAGGATGCAGGGGTGTCGTTCTGGTCTTTTTGACACTAATCAATTTACAAACGTGTCGGAAAAGGATTGACTCAAAGTTTCACCCTTGGTCGGAGTGGATCTTCAAGGGAACACCACATCGGCCAAAGAATTCTTTAACAAGTACCTCTGCAACGGTAGCAGCTTCTTGATTTGGTATCGCATAGGCCTGAGTCCATTTCGTAAAATAATCCATGGCTACCAGGATATATTTGTTTCCCTCATTCGTCTTTGGAAGTGGACCTGCAATATCGATTACTACTCTTTCCATAAGACTACCAACATTGTACTGTTTCATGGGTGCCCTCTTTTTACCAACTGGACCATTACTGTACATCATCTTTACAGTTCACCCAATAGAACCATTCTCGAACCTTGTGCAGAGTCTTCGTAATACCAAAGTGTCCAACTGATGCACCGTCATGCAACTGACGCAATACTTCTGAGACTTTACTTTTCGCTACAATCAACTGAAGCTTAGTTTCTGTACCATCATCGTTCTCAAAGGTTCCATACAGAAGATCATCTTTTAGCTCTAGGCAATTCCATTGGCTCCAGTAACACTTAACTTTCAGGACTACATGCACTAATGTCTTGCCAAGAAGGTCTTTCACTTCGACGCATCCAATCCAATACTCTTTTTATACATGGATCATCTGCTTGAGCGTCTTGTAGCTGTAGAGGCTGCCATTGATTATTAATGACGGTGGTTCGTCTCACAGAGCAAAGTGGTTCTTCTAGTTTAAGACAGTGATTACAATTTGCACTACAATTATCACTTCGCAAAGCAGCAGTCAAGGAAACAGCTTTTTCTTGTTCTGTCCAATGATTGGCTATCGCAATAGCTTTAAATTGTCTGAGGTATATGGGCCAAGAAGACTTTCCATCAAATTGTGGCAATTTGAATCTCATATGATGTGTCGTTTCGTCTATAGGTAACTCTTCATTCACTACCAGATCTAAAACTACTGCACTAATTGGTGGTAGCACTTTTGTATTGGTTATCATGGTCTCTAATTGTTTGATCTTCTCTTCTACGTCGTTAACATTTTTCTGTATCTTATCGAATCTTCTAGAAACTTCTTCAAATTTCTCATTGTTCTGAATACATACTTTCTTAATTATTTGAGAAGTTTCTTCGAATCTTCTAGATACATTTTCGAATTTTTCCTCATCTTGTCTAGCTGCTTCTTAAATAATTTGAGACGTTTCATCAAATCTTTTATCATGTTTTCAGGAAGTTTCATCAATCATTTGCGAGACATTTTCAAATTTATTATCACTTTTTCTAGAAATTTCTTCAATCATTTGCGAGAAATTTGTATTTTTATATTCTTGATATTGCCATCTCAAAATTAGATGAGAGATTTCAAGATTTAGAAATACACGTTGAATCTTTTGGTTTTTTAAATGACTTTACTAAGTGTCTTTAAGAAAATAATTGTATTAATTTAGAAACTAAACTAGCTGATCTAAAAATTTAGATATAAATGCAATAGATCTTTACAATGAGGTTGTAGCATTTGCAATCCATTGATTTTTTTGGTGTATATTGCAATCCCCTTGTATATGTAATATATTGAAATCCCCTCATATATGTTTAAAAAATAAAACGAAGAATTTTTTCCATGTTTGTTAGTTCGTATCTTTTAAGTTAAATACCCAAAAGTGTTTTCAATAATTTTATTTACATTGCTGCCTCCCTTGTACCAAGTCCCACACGAAATCCAAATTGATTGTCGCTCAGGTTTCTTTAGCATTCTCTATATATTCGTTGATGTACAATTTTAAGAAAAATTTTTAGAAAATGCCTCATCAGGCTAATTAATCTGAACTGTTGACATCATAATAAAGATATTACTAGACGAACACATCGAAGTAATGGAAGATATATTTAACAAAATATACGAAACAGGCATAATACTAAATGATTGGCTGACATCGGTGTTTATACCACTACCAAAGAAGAGAAACTCCAAGAAATGTGAAGACCATAGGATTATTAGCCTGATGAATCATATGTTGAAGCTTTTTCTACGAGTAATACACAATAGAGTATACAATAAACTAGACGAACACACTGGTCAAACTCAGTTTGGTTTTAAGAATGGGTTCGGAACAAGAGAAACACTTTTTTCAATACGTGTGCTAGTTGAAAGATGTAGAGATGTCAATTCTGATGTATACTTGTGTTTTGTAGACTTTCAGAAGGCGTTTGACTTGGTGAAACATGATAAACATAGATATTTTAAGGTCATGTAATATCGACGATAAAGACTTAAGGATCATTTCAAACCTCTACCAAGAACAAAAGGCTAAAATCAAAATAAAAACGAAACATCTGGAAAAATCAATATCCAGAAGGGAGTAAGACAGGGATGTGTCCTATCACCTTTGCTGTTCAATGTTTACTCTGAGAAGATATTTCAGAAAGCTTTGGAAGGCACCTCGGATGGTATAATTATAAACGGGCAATGTATAAATAACCTGCGATATGCTGATGACACTGTCATACTGGCAGATAATGCTGAAGCCCTGCAACGCTTAATGGACCGAGTAACGACAGCCTGTAGAGAATTTGGAATGAAATTGAATACAAAGAAGACAAAAACGATGGTCATCAGCAAGCACCAAAACAGAAGGGTGAAGGTCAATGTCGACGGAACAGATCTGGAAAGAGTAACAAGAACAACGTACCTTGGAAGTAATCTTGATGAAACTTGGGACCACTCACTAGAGATAAGAATACGCCTGGAAAAGGCACGTACAATGTTTTACAAAATGCAAAAAGTTCTATGCAACCGCCAGCTGGGCATCTCATTGAGAACTAGAATACTTAAGTGCTATGTTTTCTCCACCTTGCTCTATGGTGTTGAAGCCTGGACAATGACAGAAGCAACACAAAAAAGAATCCAAGCATTCGAACTCTGGTGTTACCGTAAAATGCTCAGAATATCCTACATGAGCCATACGACAAATGCGGAAGTCTTGCGGAGGATGAATAAGGAAAGAGAGCTTATGCTTATAATAAAAGAACGGAAAACACAATATTTTGGTCACATCATAAGAAATCAAAAGTATGAACTGCTCCAACTTATAATCGAAGGCAAAGTCAATAGCAAAAGAGGACCAGGAAGAAGACGCAACTCTTGGCTTAAAAACCTACGGCAATGGACGAACATGACCTCCATAGAACTATTCAGGGCTGCTACAAATAAGATTAAATGGGCAAATGTAATGGCCAACGTCCTTAAGGATAAGGCACCGTAAGAAGAAGTTGACAT